GAATAAAACTTGACATGAGAATATTTCAAGTGCTGATTAGAAAGTTATAACTTATGAAATCCCTAGTAGTGATAATAATGAGTGATGAAGGTGGTAGTGAAAGTTTTGTGTTTTTTTTTTTAAATCAGTTTTAGTTAAAACTATAAACTACTGAAATCCTAATGTTAGTATCTGATTGACATCATGAACATTGAGGTTTTTTTAGTCTAATATTTTTTACCTCAAGTGCGGAATACTGAAAAAAATTTTGAATTAGATAGAAGAAGCTGTTCAGTATTGGCTGGTTTTCATTGGCTTTTTGCAAAACGGTATCAGTTCGTTCTCAATTCACAATGATAATAAATGCACTAGTTACAATAAACTATTGATTGATGATTTCAAATGTGTAAAAACACATACCTCCAAAACTCTGTTCGAAAATAAACTATCTGTTTGATTGTCCAACTGACCATGTAAGTTAATCAATAGTTCAATTCTAGAACATCTGGTAAATATTTGTCACATCACTTCATTAGAATCCGCCACTATTAAAGTCATCTTTACCGGTAAACGAGTTGGTCCAAGAGAAATTGTAAACTGATTTACTGCATAGCTTGTGTTCTAGGTAGCGTGTTCATCCTGCGACTTTTATCTTGACCCTAACTTCCTAATTCCTACCTTTCACACTCGATTATTTATTGTGAGCAGCCCCTAATTATTTCTTAATAATCAGTATCACATTTAATTATTTATCTTTTCATTATTATCAGGGTCACAAAAACTATCTTCTTCTTCTTTTTAACACATATTTTCATGAACCCTCAAAAAAGTGTTACATAACCTCTATTGATTTTTGATGTTTACTAGTAATTTAATTCTGTTTTTAAGATAAATTGTGTGAAATAGGCAGAAATATGATTACTAGAATTGTTGTCAATGAAATAGTTGTAAAGACCATTCTTATCGTTGGATTATTGTCAATTATTCTTTAATAAAACAAATTCACTACTGTTGTTATAGATTGAAAATTTAACAATTTATCAATTGGATAAACAAAAAACCTTTTAAGATGTTGCATCATAATATGCACTGTCAGTCAGTCAGTCAGTCAGTCAGTTACAACGTAGAACTTCGTACGTAAGTACATCAGCTCAGGTTGCCATACAACATTAGCACAGAGACACAATTGTCAATTCAAATCCAATAGTGATAGAGATAGTAGAAGTATTAGCAGTAATGGAGAAGATTAGGATTTGAAGAGAATATTCAAGAAGTATAATTCAGTGCGATAAGTTTAGAAAGACAAAAGTAGATGTGTTGACGAATACAGAAGATTAGGATTTGAGAGAACACGAAAACTGGATGCACTGCTCCACTGCAAAAGATTATGAGCCATGTCATTCAAGGTCTTCAACCATCGCGGACCATAACCAGGTAAACTACATCTACGAACATTACTCACTCCACTTGTCAGTGACTTCATTAATTTCTGCCATGTTTTGATCTGGCCACTCCTAGGTTTCTTCCAACCTACTCCTACATCACAAAACAAAGCTCGTCGATGCAGTCTGTGGTTGGGCATTCGTGATACATGTCCCAACCACCTCAACTGATGAAGTTTCAATACTTCATTTATTGATTTGCCATCCTTATCAAGATCAATAGATGAAGTATTGAGTATATTTGAAATGGTCGAAGAAACGTCAGTTAATTTTGTTTAAATCACAAAACCCAAGTCTACGGAGTTTCGTTGATGACCTCTACTTAATGAATGACAACGCAATAGGTTTTGTGGTACTCATTAGCAAGTAATCTTAAGGGAAATTATGTTGCTTGTCAGATTCAAACACATATGACTCAAATTCATAGTCTCAAATGTTATTGATCAATTATTTGGGTCATGACAATTGTCCTTTAAGCTTGATTGACCAATCAGTAGTATCCAGTATCGTCATTGTCTAGTCCTTAGTCCTTAATGGAAATCTACCGATCGAATTGCAGTGCGATCACTAGTACACCCTACTGATGAGTGCCAAACAGAACGAAATTCACGTTTAGGGAAATCATAAACAAGCAAACGAAACGGTAATTGTAGATGTTTGATTAGCAAAATAAATAGTTTCCTATTTATTTGAGAATATTCGGACGTTATGATTCCGTAGTTCACAGGTTTTCATTCTAGTAGATTTTCTGACATTTATTAATCTAAACTAGGATATATAATAGTTTTAAAATATCAATAACTAACTGAACTTGGGAATGTTAACTATGGAATGCCAACTCAATGGTACATAGGTAACTTGTTCACTACCAGGAGGCTCGCTTATTGACTTAGAATATGATGATGACATGGTTCTACTTGATGAAGATGCTGACAAAATGCAGTCTTCTGATTACCCTAAGCAACAATGCAAGCATGTTCGGGATGCGATTTCCCCCTCGAAATGCAAAATGTTGCTTCAAGATTGGGTTTCATCGGCATCTGAACTAGTGATAGGGAGTGAAGTAGTCGAGCGTGTAGACCGCTTCGCTGATCTCTGGAGTCTCATCAATGCTGATTGTCTGGTGTTTGTTGAAATCTCAGCACGGATACAGAAGGCTCAATTGACTTTTGCTAACTTACGTCACTTATGGCGTAGGCTAAATATCTGTCTGCTAACCAAAGGACGAGTATACTATGCAGCAGTTCGCTCCGTTCTCCTATATGGATGTGAAATATGGCCGGCAATAGTAGAAGATATTCGTAGGTTACTAGTATTCGATCATAGATTTTCAAGAAGCATTGCTCGTGTATCCTGGGACAACCGAGTGAGCAACGCTGTTATTAGGAAACAAGTACTAGGTAAGGGTGGCAGATCAATAGATGAAGTATTGAAACTTCATCAGTTGAGGTGGTTGTGACATGTGTTACAAATGCCCGACCACCGACTGCGTCGACGAGCTCACATGGAACCCTCAAGGTTAAAGGAAAAGAGGAAGGCCAAGGAACACATTACGCCGAGAAACAGAGAAAGACATGAGAAGAATGAACAAAAACTGGAAAGAACTGGAAAGGGAAGCGGAGGACAGAGTTGGTTGGAGAAAACTGGTGGGCGGCCTATGCTTCATTGGGGGGTAACAGGCAAAAGTAATTAAGTAAGTAAGTATATAAAGTTTACGAGTAATCGCTTCACAAGGTTGGTAAACGTACATTTCGAGATGACCCGGTGGCTGGCAATCTGTTGACAAAAGAATAAACGTTAATGAGATGTCACTTTCTGAACCGCATAATTCCGACTGTCAATTTCAAAGTTTTTTGTGAAAGAAAACATCGTGAAATGTTATGTACTAAGAATTCCATATTGTGGTATACGTATAATACTGAATTACTTATTGAAATCATGAATCGACCAATGTTAATCCACCATATTAGAAATCTGGAAGTGCTGGATGGTTGTTTCGTCCTGGTATGGGACTCACAGCCGCAGGATACAAATTGCCTAGCTCACTAGTGACGAGCTCCGTGAGGAATTTGCTCCATTTTCTAGTGAGAAGTCGCGACCATTGGTGTTCAACCCTGTTCGGGTGTGAAGCAGTGCTCAACGGAGACAATGGATGAGGTTGCGCAACACCGTGATTTGATCAAAGTTATACATTAACACCGTTAAATACCAGCTCAGTCTTCCAGAAGTCAGGCGTTCGCGCGTAATACCGAAGGTCCTGGGTTTGAGTCCAGCGAGGTTCAGGAGTACCGGATGATCACTGCTGATGAGCCTCATATCAGGAAGAAACGGCCCTCCAGTGCTTCCAGGTTTCTTATGGATGTCTGACATCATTATTATTCCAATATGATGGGGAACATGTCATTGTAGAGTCTTTGATCAGTACGATATTCTTTCTGTAGAGTCCTCATCCTGATTGGAGTGAATAATGGTGATCGCATGCCTTAAAATTTAACCATAGTTCAACCAACAAACTTCCTTTGAATCGCATTCTATGATACTTGGTGATTTACGGTATGTGTTGTACAGGTGATTGATAATTAAATAGACCAATCACTCACTAATAATCTATTTCAGTTGAATTTTAGTTGACAATGTCGACCGAATTCAAACTAAGTCATAGCTTATACAGCTGTTCAGCTAATTATTTCATATTGCTCCGCTTTCAATAGGAAATTAACCTATTTTTCAAGTTTTTTTCTATCATATTTTGTGAGATTTAGTGTTTGCGAACATTGTATGAAATTTTCTTCTCCTCTGTTAAGGTTAGTTAGTATACTATGACATTTCAATAAGTTGGAAATAAAAGTTCGTGTTTATTACTACTGCGTTAAATAAACAACATTCTCAGGTCATGTTAAGAGATTGCATACAATAATAATAATAATAATAATAATAATAATAATAATAATAATAATAATAATAATTATTATCATCCTAGTATTAATTTTCGTCTCTCTCATTTTTATACTGGGCATATAAAATACATGTGATGCAAGTGATGAGGGCAGACACATCACATTTGAATTTTATTATCACTAATCTCTCTATAAACGTATTAGACCGAAATGAGACTAACAAACAATAAATATTTCTTTGTGGCTGTTTTGGGTATGAAAATCAATAACTCGGAAGGTCAACACCACTATAAGAGGGGGCAGCAAAAACATAGACTTGCATATAAATAATAAGATGACTAACCAGTATTCTCCTAATAATGCGGAAATCATAAACCTCCAATTGAGTTTTACTCTGGTAGATGTTCACGCACCCTAACAATTTGCGTGACTTCGATTTGCTAATGCTTTTAGGCGGCGGAACAATCAAAATAGGGGGTAGACCACATGGCTCATTAACATATATGTTAAAGACCCTCGGCAAACTAAAGATTTACTTGAAAATGAAAATATCACTTCGCCTGTCATTCTGCTGCGTCACTGTTCTCGTGTCCTCCTACTCATTAATTTGTTAAATTATTAACTGTTAGTAAAGCATTATCAGATTGTATTGATAACTAACATAACCAGCTAAATATTTCTTATGTCGCTGCATCGTTCTTCTAATGGACCTCCACCAGCGAAACCACTTGTTGCTCTTCTTGATGGTCGGGATTGTACTATTGAAATGCCTTTATTAAAAGATGTGGCTACAGTTGCTTTCTGCGATGCTTCATCAACCAGTGAAATACACGGAAAAGTACTTGAAGAAGCTGTTGGAGCTTTAATGTGGCACACCATTTCTTTAACACGTGAGGACCTTCAGAAATTCAAGTCACTTAAGATTATCGTGAGAATAGGCAGGTGGGTTCATATATTTATCTGTATAGTCCATTGAAATTTTATGCACTTAGTAATCTGTCTGTGTGTATGTTACTAATACTGCATCTAAATTAATACCTAATTTCAGCGGTTATGACAACATTGACATAAAAGCCGCTGGAGAACTTGGAATTGCAGTTTGTAATGTTCCTGGATTTGGTGTTGAAGAGTCTGCAGATACAACACTTTGCCACATCCTGACTTTATACAGACGTACTTATTGGTTAGCAAACAGTCTACAGATGGGTAAACGGATTAATGGGCCTGAACATTTAAAGGAAGTTGCAAATGGGTCAGCACGAATACGGCGTGATACTCTTGGCATAGTTGGTTTAGGTAAGTTCTTAAGCCTACTGGTTTATATGTTATTCATTAATGTTACTTATTTACGAGTTTTTAATTAGTTAAATCACTTAGTTGTTGTATTTGCAATATATGGCTCTTTCGGTTGCATTCACTCTTTGTGTTCTCTCAAACTCTAACCTTCTGAATTCCTCATAATCTCTATCCTTCTCCACTAAATTTATCTCACTGAATTATACTTCTCGCATCATTTCTTCGCTCCCTAATCTTGTCGATTACTGCTAATACTATATTATCGCTATCACTCCGGATTTGACGTGACAGTTGCGTCTCTGTACTGATGGGGCATGGCAACGTGAACTGATGTACTTACTTACAAAGTTCTGCGTTGTCTGTCTGTCTGTCTATCAAGTAGATAACAGTTTCAAAGCTCGTTAGAGTGACTGTTTCCTTCATACAGTTGAATACATTATAAAACGAAAGAGCTGGAGTTAGCTTCTATTCTAACTTTTAATGAACTTTAGGATATGAATAGTGTGGAGAACTTTAGATACATTCTAGTCGAAGTTATTAACTCTCGATCAAAAGGTATATTACTTGATAGGTTTGACTAAAACCTGCTTCATGAAAGATGTCAGTGTTTGTATACTGTGTGTAATTCAAATATATTGTATTTTCATCCTTTGTGTATTGAGCATGAGTACCGTATGATTTTCTGTTTCCGTTTCATTATTATTCTTTTCTTGGTTTGTTGAATTGTTTTCTTATCTGGAATGTGTTTTGGATAGTTATCACACTGTATCATTGTTTTATTGATGATAAGCTGCTACATTTTAATTAGAGATCATATTATTTCTAGATGGTTTTGTTCATGCATTTAGTTATTCAAAATGTTGATTCTATTATATATATATACATTAGTCTTAGTTGATACTGAAGTATTATTATTATTATCTTTCTTAAAAGTCGCTGTGTACAGCACGTCTATAACAAATTTAGTTACTGTCTCATCAAACTAGTCTGCTATTTGTTGTATTTCGGTCAGTAGCCTTGCGATACTTGAGTAACTGTGAATAGACAAAGTTAATTTGCCATACAAATGATGCCACTAGTCAGTTGCAACGTAGAACTTCGTACGTATGTACTTAATTCATGTTGCCATACCACCTTAGCACAGAGACGCAACTATCAAATCAAATCCCATAATGATAAAGATAGTAGAGGCATTAATAGTAATGAAGAAGACTAGGGTCTGAAGATATTATTCAAGAAGTATAATTCAGTGAGATAAGGTTAGAAAGACAAAGGTAGGGGTGCTGACGAATCCAGAAGATTAGGATTTGAGAGAGCACAACGAATGAATGCACTTGCGCCATTGCAAACGATTTTGAGCCATGATGTCGTTCAAGTTCCCTAACCATTGGTGACTTTGATCTCGCGAACCCCAACCAGGTAGCCTACATCTACCAACATGACTCAGTCCACTTGTTAGTGACTTCATGGATTTGTGCCATGTTTTGGTTTGGCCGCCCCTAGCTTTCTTTCAACCTATCTTTACATTGCAAAACATAGCTTATTGCGGCAGTCGGTGGTTAGGCATTCGTAAAACATGTCCCAACCACCTCAACTGATAACATTTCAATAACTCACCTATTTATTTGTTATCCCTAACTAGTAGTCGTTTCCTAACAACAGCATTGCTTACTCAGTTGTCCGACGATATACGAGCAATGCTTCGAAGACATCTATGATCGATTACTAGTGACCTACGAACATCTACTCTTAACGGCAATGCCTACCTCGAGGAATCTTGGAATGATATCAAAACAACTGTAGCAGTAGCAGTGATATATGCTAGTAAGGTAAACCATAAGGTTAGGGAGAAGTGGTGGATCTCAGTAGCATCTGTCGGACTGATAGATGCTCGGAAACTCGTCCCATCTGGCTCTGAAGACAACGAAGAACGGAGTTAGCTTAAGCGCAGGTTGATAAGAAGTCTACTCGATGATTGGAAACAGCGGTGGTTGCGATGATGGAATAGGTTGGAAGAAAGCCAGGGGCGGCCAAACCAAAACATTGCAGAAATCCATGAAGTCACTGACGAGTGGGCTGAGTGATGTTGGTAGTTGTCGACTACCTGGTTGGGGTCCGCGAGATGATAATAATCGATGGTTAGAGACCCTGAATGACATGACTCAAAACCGTTTGCAATGGCTCAGGTGCATACATTCTTTGTGTTCTTTCAAATCCTAATCTTCTGGATTCTTCAACACTTCTAGTTTTGTCTTTCGAAACTTATCTCACTGAATCATACTTCTTGAATAATATCTTCTAATCCTAACCTCTCCGATCAGTTCTATTACCTTGACTACCTCTACTACTATTGGATTTGAATTGACAGTTACATCCCTGTGCTAATGTGATATGGAAACACGAACTGATGTACCTACGTACACAGTTCGACGTTGCATCTGACTGACTGACTGACTATTGACGTCGAAAAGGCTATGGAAATCCAAAGGAAGGTGATTCAGTCTATAAGAAAGGACAAAAGCCCTCTTGTGACGATCACAAAGCAATCAGTTTAACTCATATAGTGTCTAAAATTTTAGCCTCAATAATACTTCGACGTTTAATTAGAGCTCGTGAAGTGCAGACCTGAGAAAACCAGGCTTTTTTCAGACATGGATGTGGATGTATAGATCAGATATTCATACTTCGTTGGGTACTAAAACATAAACATAAACTCAAACGTCGGACAAGAATTGTATTCCTTGACTTTACGGCGTCATTCGACTTTGTGGATAGCGAAGTTCTATGGCAGTGTCTGTCAATTAAAGGAGTACCGAGGAAATGTTTTGAAATTTTTACAGGCTCCGTACTCGGACATTACTGACCAATCCGGAGCTTAAGCCGAACTGTCATCGGAACGGATTACCGCGAGCAGTGTTCAGCTCTACGACTCAATGCTATGCCTACGCCAGCAAGACCCCTGGAAGCAGCATCAGGGCTTCCAAATACACGAAGAGTAAATCGAGTTGCTTCTTTATTTTGAAAAGGTGAAACCAAATTAATAATTTTACTAGTATCCTGTATGCGCGTTTCCGAGACGCAGCATACATCGATGGCACGAGATTCTCAAGTCCTAGCTAAGCAAGCTTGTTGCCCCATTCGACACAATGTCCGTACACTAAATGCTCCAACATGTAGTCTAGAACGGGGTTTCAAGAGACCAGGAATGACGTTTCGTGAACTCGCATCGTTTGCATTAGCGGCGAAGTGAGAAAAGGGAGTGTGAGTAGAGTTCGTTGTGGAGAGAAGAGAGGTATGTGTGGGTGTAGGAAGGGTTTGATTTCGACCAATTTCGTCTTGTGCGTTGTTACGGGTATGAGGGCGGTTGTCACTTCCCGGCTCCCCACACAGTGGAAGGTTGTTTCTTGAGGGACCTGAAAAGGAAGATAGATTAGTGTTGATCTTGGAGACCTGGGAGTGTAACCGCAGAGTCCAAGAGACAACTGTTTGAGGCCGGTCACGCACGGCCTTTTTATAAAAGGTTTTTTGAGGATTAGCTCCGCTCTTAAATGCCCTTAGTGGGCACCCTTACCCATGGAAACGGAAATCCGTGAGGTAGGGTGAGGTGTGACATTTTTAGGGTCGACATTTTCTAACCCTTCCTTCCTTGTGAGAAGGCAGCATCGCTGCAGATGCTGGTTATCCGAGGGAAACACATTACTGCTGTCACACCCCTCTGCAGTCATCAGTACGACTTCGCCCTCAGACCCTGGGTAGCTGCTTTTAGTCTCATCGTTCTCCAATCGACCTACCTGGCATGGTAGAACATTCAGGAACGTATGTTCCAGCCAATATAGCTCGGTTGGGTCATCACGATAGGCAAGCCCGACCACCACGTCAAGGTAGCAGCTACGGTCGGGAGGTCCTGATAGACTGACCCTTGAGATATTTAAGGATGGTTGTCCAGTTTTGGCAGCTAGGTTGACTGAGATCTTAGGTAGAATCTGGGAACTGGACGTAATCCCATCCGACTGGTTTCAATCCTTGATTGTCCCATTCTGTAAGAAAGGAAAAAAGTCTTGTGACAATCACAGGGGAATCAGTCTAACTAATATAGTTTCTAAATTGTTAGCTTCGATTATACTTAGACGCCTAACCAGAGCTCGCAAAGAGCAGACTAGAGAAAACCAGGCTGGTTTTCGACCTGGACGTGGCTGTATGGACCGCATTTTCACACTACGACGGGTCCCCGAACACAGACACATTTAGGCGTCCAACAATAGTTGTCTTTCTGGACCTTAAGGCGGCATTCCACTCTGTGGATCGTGAGGTTCTGTGGCAGTGTCCTTCACTGAAAGGTGTACCAAATGGGTACATTAACCTTATACAAGCTCTCTACTCGAACACCACTGGTCGAGTTAGAGCTTATGGCGAACTGTCCACGGAAGTCTTTACTTCAAGTGGTGTCTTTCAGGGATGTCTACTCTTCCCATTATTGTTTAATTTTATCATAGACATGCTGTTCGATATAACATTATCCTCGTCTGAGTTTTTAGGAGAAGCCTATTACCAGGTGGCTTGCTTACTGACTTAGAATATGTCGATGACATAGTCCTACTTGGTGAAAACGCTGAGAAAATGCTAAGTCTTCTGATTACCCTGAGCATCAATGCAAGCATGTTTGGGATGCGGTTTTCCCCCTCGAAATGCATAATGTTGCTTCAGGATTGGGTTTCATCGTTACCGGAACTAGTGATATGGAGCGAGGTAGTTGAGCGTGTTGACCTCTTCACTTATCTCGGGAGACTCATCAGTGCCGATGGCCTGGTGACTGACGAAATCTCAGCGCGATTACATAAAGCTCGATTGGCTTTTGCCAACCTGCGTCACTTATGGCGTAGGCGAAATATCTGTTTGCTAACTAAAGGGCGAGTGTACTGCGCAGTGGATCACTCCGTCCCATTAAATGTCTGTGAAACATGGCTAGTCAGAAAAGAAGATATTTGTAGCTTGTTTTACGATCATATGTGCCTCTGAAGCATTGCTTGAGTATCGTGGGACAACTGAGTAAGCAATGTTGTTGTTAGGGAACGAGTTCTAGGTAAGGATGGCAGGTCAGTAGATGAAGTATTGAAACTTCATCAGTTGAGGTGGTTGGGACATGTGTTGCGTATGCCTAACCACCGACTACCTCGTTGAGCTATTTTTCGCCATATAGGAATAGGTTGAAAGAAAGCTACAGGCGGCCAAACCAAAACATGTCAGAAATCCATGAAGTCACTGACGAGTGGGCTGAGTGATGTTGGTAGTTGTCGACTACCTGTTTGGAGTCCGCGAGATGATGATAATCGATGGTTAGAGACCCTGAATGACATGACTCAAAACCGTTTGCAGTGGCTCAGGTGCATACATTTTTTAGTGTTCTCTCAAATTCTGACCTTCTGAAATCCTCACCACCTCTATCTTTCTCTTCCTAAATTTATCTCACTGAACTACTTAAATAATATCTTCGATCCCTAATATTCTCCATTATCGCTATGCTAATGTTTTGTGGCAACCTGAAGAGATGTACGCACGTACGATTTCTACGTTGTAATTGACTGACTGAAAGCCAATGAATATCAATTGATTTTAATGCATAATGTTGACAGTTTAGTCTGAAATTTTGATTGCTTGTTATAAAATACGGTAGTAGATATGTACTTGCCCTCAATCTTCCAGACAAATTTGAATTCCTTTATGTTTTTTTTATGTGATATACATATTCCCTATGATATTGCTTCTCAGGTTATCTCATTGTTAAATCACCATATACTAAATGGAAATATATATTATTTAAATGTATGCATATTAAATTGGAATTATTAGCATTTCTCTACAAAACCTTATCAGGAGTCTTTCCAATAATGAAAAATAATAATAGCACACTGTAAATTCTTAAATGACATCACATTGAAAGTTAATCACAATGTTACAAATGGATAATCTGTTATTTTTTTCTATATTTTTTTCTACTTTTCTCTTAAACATGTTACTTTGCACTTATTGTTAATGATTTTTTCCACTTATATGTATATTTTGTAAATGCCTAGTGTATTTTCAAATTTTTATTCTTCTCCATACTGAATGTAAATATTTAGATCGATACACCATCAATCTATAGTAGATATAATCTTTAAGTGTTTTTTTATTTATTTATAGTAATATCATGATAACTGAAAATCGAAAATTCCGATATTGATAAACGATTGTTTTAACATTTATTATAAATCGATGAATTTCTTTCAACTTCAATTGTATTTTTTGTATATTTCTCTATCTATTTGTCGAAAATTAGTTGATTTTAGGAATAGTTCAGTGGTCGATTGTTTGATTTTAAAGTTGTAATTATTTGTGGTATGGGATGAAACAAGATGATTGTTTTCAAAAACTAGTTTTGAATTAATGTATGTATCACTCAATCATATATCATCTATCTTCATCATAGTAAATATTCAACTTGAGAAAGGAGTAATAAATAAGCATCTCCTTTTTTCTCTTACTATGAAGAATACAAATCACTAATAATGTATTTTCCTGTACCGTAATAACCTTTCTCGCATTATTTGACCTTTTGAACCCCATTACTTACTTACGCCTGTTACCCCCAATGGAGCATAGGCCGCCCACCAGTTTTCTCCAACCAACTCTGTCCCGGGCTTCCCTCTCCAGTTCTATCCAATGTTTGTTCATTCCTCTCATATCTTCCTCTATTTCTCGGCGTAGTGTGTTCTTGGCCTTCCTCATTTTCCTTTTACCTTGAGGGTTCCATGTGAGGGCTTGTCGTGTGACGCAGTTAGGTGCTTTTCGTAGTGTATGTCCTATCCACTTCCACCGCTTCTTCCTGATTTCCTCCTCCACTGGAATCTGGTTTTTATTTTCTCCCACAGTAAGTTGTTGCTGATAGTGTCTGGCCAACGAACCCGAAGTATTTTGCATAGACAACTGTTAATAAACACTTGTATCTTCTGGATGATGGCTTTCTTAGTTCGCCAAGTTTCCGCTCCATACAGTAGAACTGTCTTGATATTTGTATTGAAAATCCTGATTTTGATTTTGGTTGAAAGTTGTTTGGAGTTCCAGATATTTTCCAACTGTAGAAATGCAGCCCTGTTGAACCCCATATGTAATCGTTTATTATTGAAATTCATTCAGAAGTAAAATGAATGCATATATTTTGTTAAAACTGTGTTGATATTTACATACATCTGAGATTTTAGTTTTATGTATTTAATAAATATATACGTTTTTGTTTGCTTCTAGGTCGAGTTGGCACAGCTGTTGCATTACGAGCTCAAGCTTTTGGATTCCATGTAACATTTTACGATCCTTATCTACCAGATGGGATTGAACGATCATTAGGTATTGAACGTGTTTACAGTCTTCAAGATCTACTATTTCAAAGTGATTGTGTTACTTTGCATTGTTCGCTTAATGAACAAAATCGTCATATGATTAATGAACATACAATCAAGTTAATGCGACCAGGTAAGATATTTACACTGGATTTTAAATTAGTAAGATTCATTTACAGTTTAGTTAGATACATTTCGAGTTGTAGAGTTCTCTGGATTAAGCAGTTATATTCCAGAGCTTTCGCTGCTATCAGCTGATGTGGACAATAATGGGCATGAATTCGACTGGAAATTTCGAATTGAAGGAATCCTAGTAATACCAGGGTGTGTCCCTGGATTGTGACACTCGGATCAGTCAGCACTTAACAGGCACATCGAATTAGACCCGATTTATGCATGAGCAAAATAGTATTTAGGATAGTCAATCGTTCTATCCTAACCCATTTTCAGTTCAAACAGGTTATACAGCCAATGTGAAGCCATCATTTATCATAGTCTGAAGCGATAACTGTTCACATTATAAAAAAAGCTGTAACTTCACATGCTAAAGAAAAATGTTTAGCCACTTTTATTTCGATCAATGTCAGGTCGCAAAGTCAAAAGTCATCCAGACTTTTAGATGACCTAGTTTGACTAATGCATATATAACCTTGTATTTACGTCATTTTATCTTATTTAATTATATATATTACATATATTGTGAGACAAAATTACTTACTTCAAAACAAATCTCACAGTAGAGGAAGTAATAACAGTTATACTGTTATTATTATTAGAAAATATTAAGTATAGAAACATATAAAAGGTATAAGGGGATTTTTAAGACCTAGGTTTTAAAGGAAAACAAAAAGTTTCTGACCATTAATTACAGTAATCAAGCGAATCCCAACCAGGTAGTCTACACTTATTAGCATGGCTCAGCTCAATTGTCAATATCTTCGTACATTAGTGCCACATCTAGATTAGGCCACCTTTAGCTCTCTTCCATCTTCGACATCTATAATTTTATTGTATTTTATCAACAATCCTAAATTCATATTTTGCAATGTTCAAAAAATGTATCTGTTTAAACTATTCTCTTGGATTATCAATTTTAAATATATTAGCTATAAAGCATGATAAATATTTTTCATTCAATTCATATCCTTCTATTTTTAATAAAATGGTAACTTAAACAATTACTTACTTACTTACGCCTGTTACCCCCGATGGAGCATAGGCCGCCCACCAGTTTTCTCCAACCAACTCTGTCCTGGGCTTCCCTTTCTAGTTCTTTCCAGTTTTTGTTCATTCTTCTCATGTCTTTCTCTATTTCTCGGCGTAATATGTTCCTTGGCCTTCCTCTTTTCATTTAACCTTGAGGGATCCATGTGAGGGCCAACGAATCCGAAGTATGTTGAGTAGACAGCTGTTAATAAACACTTGTATCCTCTGGATGATGGCTTTGGTAGTTCTCCATGTTTCCGCTCCATACAGTAGATTTGTCTTGACATTTGTATTGAAAATCCTGATTCTGGTTTTGGTTGAAAGTTGTTTGGAGTTCCAGATATTTTTCAGCTGTAGAAATGCAGTGCTTGCTTTGCCGATCCGCTCCCTCACATCTGCATCGGATCCAACTTGGTTGTCGATGATGCTTTCCAGATATGTAAAAGTGTTAACGTCCTCCAAAGAATCTCCATCAAGAGTGATTTGGTTGACGCATGTTGTATTATATCGTAGAATCTTACTTTTCCCATAATGTATGTTGAGACCTGCTGCTGCTGAGGTTGCTGCCACACTGGTCGTCTTCTCTTGCATTTGTTGTTGCGTGTGAGATAGAAGAGCCAGGTCATCTGCGATGTCCAGATCGTCCAGGTGCGTCCTAGCTATCCACTGGATACTGTGTTCCCTCGGTATGCTGACGTCTTCATAATCCAGTCGATGACCAGGAGAAAGAGAAAGGTTGAAAGTAAGCATCCTTGCCTGACACCGGTCTTCACCTCGAACGAGTTTGTCAGCTGACCTCCGTGCACGATTTTGCAGTTGAATCCATCATAAGAATTCCGTATGATGTAGACTATCTTCTCAGGCACACCTTTGTGTCAAAGAAGCCTCCACAGTGTTTTCCTGTCCACGCTATCGAATGCTTCCTCGTAGTCGATGAAGTAGATGTAGAGTGGTGAGTTCCATTCAATTGATTGTTCCACAATCATCCGTAATGTTGCAATTTAGTCGGTACACGATCGATCCTTACGAAATCCAGCCTGTTGGTCTTGAAGATGGGCGTCTACGAAGTCCTTCATTCTGTTTAACAATACCATGTTTAAGACTTTGCATGCTGTTGAGAGAAGAGTAATGCCTCTGTAGTTCTCACACCTTCTTGAGATCGACTTCCTTCGGTATTTTGATCAGGTATCCTTCTTTCCAATCTGATGGTACTTGTTCCTCATCCCAAATCTTCTTGAAGAGAATGTGAAGTATTTTTGCAGTTGCTTCCACCTCTTTCATTGCCTCTGCTGGGATGTTGTCTGGTCCTGCTGAACTTAAACAATTGAAATGTGTTTATGATATAGAAATATCCCGGTAACGTATTTGTTTGAATATATAAATCTTAAAAGCATTTGACGAAGTTTGATTGGCTAAATCTTCAATGGTTCAATATCGATCGCAGTTGCGTAGATGTATACACTGTTTGTTTTTTTCTAAGATCCTGAGTTTTAAAATTGCTTTATATCTTTCTCATTGCACAAACTCATTCTCGAATCATATTGTCTATATCCGATCTTTTCTACTAATAATATTACTACTACTTATCATGTTACTACTTCTATTACTACTTTGGGATTTGTTTTGATAATTTCATGTTAATGTCATCTAAAAACTTTGACCATTCCACATAAATGCTAGGTTACTGATTGAATTTCTGAACTATCCACATTTTACTGTGCTAGAAAAAAATAAAACATCGCAAAAAGTCACGTAAATTATCAATCTGAACAGTGTGATAAGTAAGGCAAAGTAAGAAAAAGGTATTGACTTTTTAAACTCAGTTGTCAATATTTCATTTATTACTTTATTTAATGACTTAACATTTGTTCTTTTTAAGGTGCATTTTTAATCAACACTGCTCGGGGTGGTTTGATCGATGAAGTAGCCCTTGCTGCTGCACTCAAAGAAGGTCGAATACGTGCTGCAGCCCTTGATGTAACTGAAACAGAACCATTTATCTGGAGTAATAGTGAGTTTCTTAATTTAGTTTCGTATAGTTCAGTATAATCCATCTATAATTGAGACTTTTACAGTTAGGTTTATCTCAAAATTGATAACTGACACAATGCGATCAGTGTCTCGAGAATTACATTGTTACAGTTTGAAATAATAAAATAGACGTATATAGTGTTGGAATCTTGTAGTTAATCGACATAAAATTGTGGACTATGAGATATTTAACTCATTTACTAAGTGCAGATCCGTGTAATTGGCTTCGGGTTATACTTGAAGTTCGGAAGCTTGTTATACTACCCGATTCCCTGAATCAAATCAGAAAAGCAGGGTTCAAACCTTCACTTTAGTGACTGAAAGTTGAGCCACTTAACCACTGTACAACCACTCCACTTCATACATCAAGGAGAACCTACCCTGTCTCCTAATTGGATGTAAGTAACTGAGTGGTCAATTCTGAAGTATTGCTATTAAACTATTCGAATACCGATCTACTTTTTATTTCTGAAACGTTTACTACGATAGGGACTTTCTGGAATCATATCAAGGCTTTTTAATTTATTAGAATAAATAGTATTATTATGTTTGACAAAACAGGAATCCCTAGATATGTCCTAACCGTACTCATGTAGCCTCGACTGCAAAAGGTATTGAGTGTATGTGAATGTAATGCACGTACATAATTGTGTACAAACTGTTTATTACTTCACGAGTGAATAATGGTTGTCCACTATAAATTCTTCTGGTTACCCCATTTTACTCATTTTGGCGAGTTGGTTTTCTATGGGATGTGGTCACTAACCCCATGCCCAACTCTCCTTTATCCGGGCTCGGGACCTGCAGTAACTCAAAAGGGCTCCAGAGCTAGGTGGATAGGACACTGAGGAAATCACCCAACTGAGGCACAAGACAAGCCCACTTGGAATCTTGAAGGGGAAAGGAAAAGAGGAAGGCCAAAGAAGAAATTACTCCGAGAATCGGAGACAGACATGAAAAGAATAAACAGCAATAGGATAGAACTGGGGAAGAAGGACCGGGACAGGTTGGAGAATGCCGGTCAGCGGCCTATGCTCCGTTGGGAGCAACAGGCAACTGCAGCATTAAAAATTCTTCATCTTAGTAGGTATGTCTCTAGAGTAAGCACATATTTTCTGTTTCATTAACTCACTAACAAAGAGCAATCCATTATACTAAGCGAAAATCCAAATTTGTTTCCTCATAATAGGCAGCCTAAGATAGGAAAGAAAGATTTGTTTGATTTGACCTGTGTAAATTTGTGTCAACTTTGAAATATTCATCTCACTTCAAACTGATGTAAATCATGAGTTCATTTGCTTTAAATATTCTTGTTAATTTAGGTGCTTTAAAAGATGCTCCAAATCTTATTGTAACACCTCATATGGCATTTTACAGTGAATCAAGTATGCGTGAAATGCGTGAAGCAGCTGCAAATGAAATCCGACGTGCTATTTTAAATCGTATACCAGACTGTCTTCGAAACTGTGTTAATAAAGAATTTATGTCCAATGGGGGTTCGTCATTATTTTCTCACGGTTGTTCCAACAATAGTCTGTCAAATAATATCAGCAATAATCCCCTGATTAATAGCAATCATCTATCCCTTGCTGCAGGTATTCCTGGTGTTAATGCCCTCAATAATAGTGTTGCTTCAGGACTAGAGAACGCTGCACGTGGTCTACATCCAGCAGCTGCAGCTGCTGCCTTTGGCCTTTCAGCTGGTCTTTTCTCTTCTGCTGCAGGCGGAGGTTGTGGCCTTGGAGTAGGTGCTAATAGTCTCCCCTTCCCTGCTAACCTTATTGGTGGATCAGGGATAGGTTTATCAAATCCCGGTGGTGGAGGTATTCTCACTAACAGCGGTGGCCCAACAACAATCCCAGCTCTTCCCCCACCTCCCGCTGTCGCTGCAGCTGCCGCAGCCCATTTAGCTGGTCTTCCTCCTGTTTCCGCGTATGCTAACTTCTTTCCTCCTGGATTAGCCGCTGGTTTGGGCCTTCCTCTCCCCCCTCCACATGCAGCATCCTTAGCTGGTGTAACCGGGTCGTTAGGAGGTACAACTACAGGGTCTTCAACTAGCGCAGCCACCGGAAGTTGTACTAATAATTCTACTTCTGGCTCAGGAGGTCAGACAGTCAGTTCCCCCTCACCTGCAACCAGTGGTATCCCCGGTGGTGTGTCTAGCAGTACTTTTGACAGCGTACATGCCAGGCTTGCTGCTGCTGCCAGTCTTGTTGCTTCAGGCCTCAATCCGAGGTAAGTTTTGAAATTAATTTCCGTCTCATTAATTCCTTTATTCATTCATAAATAATTTACAACTTACAATAAAACAGATTATTTACTCCCAATTTCTTCTGCATGATGCAGTTGATTTACCTTTATTGATTAAGAGATATAAGTTATATCCTCATTTAAGACTGGCTTGTTGTTTTGTCTTGTACTTACGAAGAAAACTGTGTAATACATATATATTTTATCCATCTTCATACGTATATAGTTAACATTCTGAGGTAAGGATTGTTAAGTTAATCTCTGTTAGCTATATAATCAAATGGACTATAATACATGCAAGTTTCAAGATTTTACAATTTGTTAGCATCAAAATAATTGTAGCTTCAATGATAATTGATTAAGCTTTCTAACTTCAATTATTGTTAAATAATTCATTTGATTATTGTTCATACATGCTATGTATGTTGTTGCATCAACAATCTAAGTGATGATGATACTGATTTGAATTGAATCACAACTATATGAAAATTCAATATTGAAATCATGTTACATATTGAAAGAATTTATTCATTGTTGAACATTGATTTGCTGAATGAGAAAACATAAAGCTCTTTCTTTTCATGAACATGAAGTAATGTTTAAACTGCTGTTTTTTTTTCTCCAAATATTCGTAAAATAAAATGCACTTTTAGTTTAGTTCTCCATATTTGAATATTATTTAACATTTTTAAAAAAAAAATTCTCCTTCCTACTTACTCAATTCATTTAATTTTCTGTTTCAGATCATCATGATACTACTACTAGTGCTACTACTACTACTACTACTACTACTACTACTACTACTACTACTACTACAACTACCTTATTCTTATTCAAAAATTAATCAAAAAGGTGTAAAGTGAACAAACTATATATATATATATATATATATATATATATATATATATATATATATATATGTTAACTTTGTTAATCCTGTCTATACCTACTACTACCACAACTACCAATACTACCATGCGTATGTAATATCTCTCGCATGTGTGTGTATGTACGTATGTGTGTGTGTGTGTGTGTGTGTACTTCCTGCATATTAATAAAATGTTGTGTTATGATTTATTTTTTTAAATTATAAATTTATACATCTAATTAATGTGTTGAATTTCCATTCTTCTTACTTGATCAACAGCCTTTGTTAGGAGTTAGAGGTGGGGCTGTTTGTTAGAGGAGTATCTTTTTTTTTTAAAAAAAAACGAGTCGTGCCATTTTCAAATATATCTATCTGATCAACAAAGATACCAGTTGTAAATCATGCACAGCTTGTAATTTACCCTTGCTGATCATGATCATATGTATAGTAGGAAGATTTTAATCCAGCAATGGAAATTCAGTAGATGATTGTCCCGTGTTCTGATTGATTTCTCAAGAGCGAAGGGATAACAGGATAGTCAATTTATCGTTCGGTTTGTTGAGTGTAAACTTGTATGTCAAAAGCTTGAATATAGCGAAGCTAAGTTCACTGAATAAAACTAGTCGTCTTCATAAACTAAGAGTATCAGTTTAGTGAAATGTTTACCACTACTGAATTTAGTCTTGTTACTCTATAGTACCATTGCCCTCAAGAGATATGTTGGGATGATAGCAGTGTCCTAACCCTCGGTTGCGATTCCGGGCTGAAGGAACAACATATTCCTGCACTGGTATTTTAGTTGACATACCGACTACTAATTTGATCCTAGTTTCTATCCACCAAAGTTGTTTAGCAATCCCGAAGCACATTTCGTCAGTCGGTCTTTTAAACTTATTTTTGGAAAAGTGAGCCCTCAATGTATCCTTACTATTTGTTTAGGTTATGTACAAATACTAGCACAATATTAAAAAATTTAGAACAATAATTATCTTTCGCTTACGTCAGTTTTGCGAACCATGGGACGATTAACCGTAAAGTGTAGATAATACTTGACAAATAACGATTAATATTACGCAAACACTCACCAGGGCAAAGTACAGACGTCAGTCAGTCAGTCAGTTGCAACGTAGAACTTCGTACGTATTTACATAAGTCCATGTTGCCATACCACAGTAGCACAGAGACGCAAATCCCATAGCGATAAAGATAGTAGAGGTATTAATGGTAATGAAGAAGACTAGGGTTTGAAGATATTATTCAAGAAGTATGATTCAGTGAGATAAGGTTAGAAAGACAAAGGTAGGGGTGCTGACGAATCCAGAAGATTAGGATTTGAGAGAGCTCAAAGAATGGATGCACTTGCGCCATTGCAAACGATTTTGAGCCATGTCGTTCAAGGTCTCTAACCATTGGTGAATTTCATCTCGCGGACCCCAACCAAGTAGTCTACGTCTACCAACATGACTCAGTCCACTTGTCAGTGACTTCATGGATTTCTGCCATGTTTTGGTCTGACCGCCCCTAACTTTATTCCAACCTACTCCTACACCACAAAATATAGCTCGTCGGGGCAGTCGGTGGTTAGGCATACTTAACACATGTCCCAACCACCTCAACTGATGAAGTTTCATTACTTAATCTATTGATCTGCCATCCTTACCTAGCACCCGTTTCCTAACAACAGCATTGCTTACTCGGTTGTCCCACGATATACGAGCAACGCTTCGGAGACTCTAGTGATCGAAGACTAGAAACCTACCAAAGTCCTCTACTCTTAATGGCCATGTTTCACAGCCATATAGTAGGGCGGTGCGAACTGCTGCACAGTACACTCGTCCTTTAGTCAGCAGACGGATATTTCGCCTGCACCATAAGTGACGCAGGTTGGCAATAGCTCATCGAGCCTTCTGTATCCGAGCTGAGATTTCGTCAGTCACCAGGCTATCAGCGCTGATGAGACTCCCCAGATAAGTGAAGCGATCAACACGTTCGACTACTTCACTTCCTATCACTAGTTCAGGTGCCGATGCAACCCAATCCTGAAGCAACATTTTGCATTTCGAGGGTGAGAACCGCATCCCGAACATGCTCGCATTATTGCCTACGGTGGTCAGAGGACTCTGCATTTTGTCAGCGTCTTCACCGAATAGAACTATGTCATCGGCATATTCTAGATCATTAAGCGATTTTCCTGGTAGAAGGTCAACCCCTGGAAAATCTGACGAGCTTAATGTTAACTCTAAGAGGATGTCTAAGACAAAGTTAAACAAGAATGGAGAGAGTGGACAGCCCTGACGAACACCACTTGATGTAGAGAATTCAGATGACAGTTCGCCATATGCTCTCACCCGACCAGTGGTGTTCGAGTAGAGTGCTTGTATAAGGTTAATGTACTTCTTTGGTACACCTTTCAATGACAGACACTGCCACAGAACCTCACGATCCATTGAGTCAACTGCCGCTTTTGGTTCTTGGAACTCGACTGTTGTCGGACGTCTTAATGTATGTATGTGTTCCAGGACCTGTCGTAGTGTGAAAACGTGGTCTATACAGCCACGTCCATGTCGAAAACCAGTCTGGTTTTCTCGAGTCTGCTCTTTACGAGCTTTCGTTAAGCGTCGAAGTATTACCGAGTCCAAAATTTTAGAAACTATATTAGTTAGACTTATTCCCCTGTGACTGTCACAAGAAGACTTGTGCCCTTTCTTATAGATTGGGACAATCAATGATTGAGACTAGTCGGATGGGATTACGTCCAGTTCCCAGATGCTACCTGAGATCTCAGTCAACCTAGCTGAAGACCAGTTGAACTGGTCACCGAAGTGTTCTGCCCATCGGTCCAATCTACTGGATTGAGAGTGGATAATAAGACCATCCTTTTCCGAGATTGTCTCGCTCATAATACCGGTTTCTTTAATAAGGCGGAAAAGTTGTCTAGTGTTGCCTATCGCCGCTGCCTTTCCCATCGCTTTTGCTGTCGCTACCCACCTCCGTTCGCGATCGTTACGTAGGCTTTTTATCAGCATGCGCTTAAGCTGACTACGCTCTTTATCATATTCAGAGTCGGGTGGGATGCGTTTTCGAGCATCCATCAGATCGGTGGATGCTACTGAGATCCACGGTTTCATTCTAGCCTTATGGTCAATCTTACTAGCAGATATCACTGCTGTTTCCACAGCCTTTTTGATATCATTCCAACCTGCTTCCGGATGGGAATCGCTTACATGGTTGCTTAACTGTCTTTCTAGTTGTTCCTGAAATATATTCCTCGCCCTATTATCATTCAGTAAAACCCTAAGAGGTTTTCTCACGGTGTCTTTCCTACGTCCAGTAAGCATCAAACAAATACGCACTCGCACTAGGTCATGATCTGAATCTAAACATGTGCTCCAGGACGAGCGACAGTCATCTATCGAACCTCTCCATCGGTGGCTGATGGCAATGTGATCTAGTTGGGTCCAACGTTGAGACGACTTTGGAGGTCGCCAGGTCAACAGATGATTTTTCTTTATGCCTAAAGTTAGTGTTTGCTGAGAAAGGCGGTTATCTGAACATACTTGCAACAGACGGTCGCCATTGTCTGTTCTCTCAGTCGCTACACCATAACATCCACCTAGGTGTCTTTCATTTTCACTTAGTCTACCTAATGAGCATTAAAGTCACCAGCCATTAATACTATATCAGAGCGCCTAACTTTTTGTAGGAGTCTCGAAAGCTTTTTGTAAAACTCATCTTTTACATCGTCTGGACTGCAGTTATGGGCGCATAGGCAGACACGATGAAGAGGCAACGGCGAGTGTCCCTATCTTTACGAGTCCTTACTGTCCCGTTTAATCGGACAGTGCACAAGCGACTATCTAATGGGATCCAGTCTAGGAGAAATTGTTCAGCTCTACAACTCAATGTTATGCCTACGCCAGCAAGACCCCTGGAAGCAGCATCAGGGCTACCGGATACACGAAGAGTAAATCGAGTTGCTTCTTTATTTTGACAAGGTGAAATCAGATTAATAATTTTACTAGGATCCTGTATGCGCGTTTCCGAGACGCAGCATACATCGATGGCACGAGATTCTAAAGTCCTAGCTAATGATGCCTGTTGCCCTATTTGACACAATGTCCGTACATTAAATGCTCCAACATGTAGTCTAGAACGAGGTTTCAAGAGACCAGGAATGACGTTTCGTGAACTCGCATCGTTTGCATTAGCGGTGCAGTCAGATAAGGGAATGTGAGTAGAGTTAGTTGTGGAGAGAAGAGGTATATGTGTGGGTGTAGGAAGGATTTGATTTTGACCAATTTGGTCTCTCGTGCTGTTACGGGTATGAGGGCGGTTGTCACTTCCCGGCTGCCCACACCGTGGAAGGTTGTTTCTTGAGGAACCTGAAAAGGAAGATAGATTAGTGTTGGTCTTGGAGACCTGGGTGCTTGACCGTAGAGTCCAAGAGACAACTGATTCATGCCGGTCACGCACGGTCTTTTTGTGAGAGGTTTTTTGAGTGTTAGCTCCGCTCTTAAAGGATCTTAGTGGGCACCCTTACCGCCGGAGACGGAAATCCATGAGGTAGGGTGAGGTGTGACATTTTCAGGGTCGACATTTTCTAACCCTTCCTTCCTTGTGAGAAGGCAGCATCGCTGCAGATGCTGGTTGTCCGAGGGAAACACTTTACTGATGTCACACCCCTCTGCAGTCAGCAGTACGACTTCGCCCTCAGACCCTGGGTAGCTGCTTTTAGTCTCGTCGTTCTCCAATCGACCTGCCTGGCATGGTAGAACATTCAGGAACATATGTTCCAGCCAATATATCTCGGTTGGGTCATGACGATAGGCAAGCCCGACCACCACGTCAAGGAAGCATCTTCGGTTGGGGTCAAAAATAAAAGGATAGTTATTAATAGGTTTGTAGGAGAAAAATAAGGTGCAACAATTCTTCATATCCATTTATCAAATTCATTACTGATATTTGCTAATGAAGAA